CACACACACACACACACACACACACACACACACAAAATCCCTCTTCCAGTGTCATATGAAAAACACTGGGTAATCCTGGGTTCGTGCTTTCCTAACTATAGACGAGTCCCTCAAATCCAAAAGATGTGTTTAAGCTTTTGTTAGTAACCAAATTTGCTAAATTGGCTTAAAAAAAGGATTTCGTGTTAAATTATTAATTTAAAGGCCCAAATTATTATTAGTTTTTGAAACAGCTGTTTTATCTGTTTGTCTTATTTAAACTAAATATGTGCCACTTTGATGATATTGCATTATTAAAAAAAAACTATCAAGCTATCAAGACAGGCTTTAAAAACAACTGCTGAACTTTATTTCCAAAATACGTGTGTACTGTGTGAAGAAATATCAACATTAAAGTTAGATTTCAAAGTTACTTTTATGTCATCCACACATTTACGGACACACTTTGGTTAAATTCCCTCAACCAGATATTTAAGTAGCCATCAACAAGATTCTGGAATAATTCCAGCTTTATATTTAAACACTCTTCCTGACAGACTTTATTTAAATTGGTTGGTTTGGTGGATTTTAAAATTTGGAAATTTAAAATAGGGCTAAATTCTGGGATTTGCGAGCTCAATGATAGCCTGCTTTATCCATACAGTTTTGATGTGTGTCAGGGATCATTGTCCTGTTAGAACACCCAACAGTGTCCATGTTTTCACTGTCTAACTAACTAATTTGAGGTGAAGTTGCATATTTTGGAGGACGTTGTCATCCTTTTTTATTATTTCATCCTTTTTGTGCAGTGCATCAGTGACATTGGCAGCTAAACAGCTGACATCTGGTAGAGTGTTCTGAGGTTTGAAAGTCTCACCCTGACTCCTCTAAACATCCCTCGTGTCATTGTGGCCAAATATTTCCATATTTGTCTCATCTGACCATAAAATCTTTCTCCAGAGAACATTTGGCTTGTCCATGCGGGTAGCTGAAAATCTGGGTTACCTCTAACCATCTGATGGTGACAGTTTATGTCTTCTTTCAGACCTCTGCAAATTGGTGACACATCTGAATATGTTGTATTTTGTGTACTTGTTGAAACTGATGATCTGCAGTTGTTTATGAATGGCTTCAAAAGACCTTCGAACGTATATACAGCTACAATTCTGTTAGATCTTCACTGAGCAAATGTTATAATAATAATAATTTATCTTAAATTGCTGTATGGATGAAAATAAAATGTAGCTTAAAAAGGTTGATATTTATTTTAGATTTTACTTTAAAAATGCAGGAAGGTGATCTGGTGGCTCTAGTTTGCTGCTGAAGGAGTTGTGCTGTATAATTTTGAGCCACTTGTCCCTTTGAAGGAAGGTACTCTGTAAATCAATGCAAAACTGTTCACCTTTATGATGAAAGATCTCTGTCCTGATGTGGTCCATTCCAGGATAACAGTGTCTCGATCTATATGGAATGAGCCATCACAGAATGGTTGACAAGAAAGAAAAGGATGTGAATTGTCTGCTAAGACCTTCATTGTAATCATATCTCAACCCAGCTGAAGACCTAAGGAAGATTTTGAACATATTACACAAACCTCACCACCAGCATCTCGACTTTTACATTGTTTTATTTCCATTAGTCCTAAGAATGCAAAGAGAATCAATTCCAAGACCAACTGAAGCACTCGTGGCACACATTACACGCCCTATCATAAACAAACTTACAGCATATTTTGGTCTTTGTTACAAGCCCTAATGCGAAGCTTTAGAGTTTCGGATAATTGTTTTTGTACATAACATGATATCATGCAATTGCAACAAGAATTTCTAGTGAAATGGAGCTGAGTTAAAATGACATCAGCTTTGGATCTCCATCCTGTTATTGTTCTAACTCAGCTGGAAGGTCGGTTGCAGTTCATCGGTTGCTCTGCAGATGTAGGGGATCAGGAGGGTTAGTGTACGATGACAAACTCCAAGCCTGTGAGGATTACAGTGTCCTGTGCCCTACAGGTTATATTTAGCAGGGTACCAGTCATGCTTCACAGTGTGGTTGTCCTGCCACACCGACCAAGTTCACTTAGCCCAGTGGTGGTGTCACTGCAGGGATCAGTGCAAAGAAAATCCACTGAGGTTTCATAACAAAGTGCCAACAGCCAATCAAAGCTGCAGTCAGGCAACGCTGCAATGACAGCTCAGTTAGTGCCTCAGCAGCCCTCATACTGTGCGGTGATGTGTAGAAGAATTACATAGATGGTGCAGGAAATAGTGATGTTACCTAAAAGAAAAGGAGCAAGGACAAAAAAGAGAGGGGAGATATTAAACTCAGGAAATTAAAACAACATCCTGCTTTTAATTGTACAAATATTTGTTGGGTTTCTTTGGATTGTAACAAGGGTTACGGATGTATTTTTTATTTTATAGGTTATTTAACATGAACAAAGCAGAATTTACAATTAATTAATGTAGATTAATTAGTCTAAAATAAATATTTGATCATTGCAAACAGACTTTAAGAAGTAATGTAATTACTTTTGGAACTTTTTTAACCCAGCATGTAGAGCTAATGTCTCAAAAAATGCCATTTCTATTGTTATTGTTGTTTTGCAGTTGTACATCAAGCCTTTTATGGTCAGTACAGTCACATTATTAACCAACAGTATGTTGTTGTTTACAGCGTGCCTCAAAACGTCATTACGTATTCCCCCAGCTGGACCAATGAGAGCACAGGAGGGCGTAAAGCGGTCTGGCGCCGGGTAAAAGGGATTTGACAGTAGCAGGTTTCTAGCTGATCCTTCAGTTGACTTCCTCAGTGGGGCCGAGACATAGACGATGGCGGCGGCTGCCTGCAGCCAGCACACCGCTGTCACTACCGCCACCGTTAGTGGCAAAAAACCGCATGCTAACAGAGAAAATAGCCGGAGGAACCGTGAGAACTCGCGACGGAGACAAGCGGCTCTTTTGTTTCTCAGTAACATCTCCCTGGACGGCCGGCCAGTCCAGAGTAATTCCGCTGAAAATCAAGGAACCCGCCACCACAAACACAACGACTCGGAGGGAGCAGACTCCAGCTCTGCGGCGGGGGCTGCAGCCGGTTTGTGTCCGGATACCGGCAACAGTAGTAGCTACGGGACATTCTCTAATGTACCAGCTTCCGTAAGCAGCGGGACAGTCACTCATTCCGCGGCACCGAGAACGGGACTCACCACCGTGCCGCCGATTCTCGTCCTGCCGTCGGACACGGGCTTCAACGATGTGGGGAGCACCGAGGTGTTGTTGGAGTGTCGCAGAGGCTCGTTTCCTTCCTCCGGGAACAGTAACCTGCTCTCGGCGTCCCCTTCCAACACCAGCCTGCTGCCGTCGCCGGTGGGACCGCGGAAGTCGTCCACTTTGCTGTCGGTTCAAAGCTGTAACTCGGTGTCCTCAGAGCCGCGACAAAGGTGAGATATATACGGCGGCGTTTCTGTTCTCTAATCGGGTGAGCGGTGCCATCTGAGCCTGGCTTTCAAGCTTGAATTTGCATGTTTGTCGTCGGTATTCCCCTTTAAACAACACCTGAAAGTTAACAGGGAGACCAGCTCGGCAGGTAGACGGTAGCCGGAGTAGTTTGGTTTGACTTTGACTCGAAACAGTCTTTCTTGTTCACAAACTGAAGCACCGACATTTCATGCTGAATGTGAGCTGGTGATCCCAGAGTTGATGTGTGAGTTCAGCTACTTTTGCTCCGGTCCACTCACTCCTCAGACATTTAAGGACGTTTTAGGACGTGTCAGCGGTCACGATGCAACAAATTCACGGTTAGTGTTGCTGCCTGGAGGTAACCGTGAACTCAGAGCAAGAGCTTGTGTAGTACAGGACTCATAGCAGTTGAATTTGGGACGCAAACTACTGAAAACCCCATACCACCAGCATTTAATGACATCAGTCTCACGCTTGCATTTTTTTCATTTAGTGGCTTAATATCCTTTCCTAGAAGAAACAAGACATGTGGTGACAGTGTTGTTTATGTCTTTAACTAGGTTGCATTGCGTGGGAAACGGCTGGCATTTAAAAACGAGCTTTTGTTCTTATTTTGTTTCCTATTTTTGGTTTCTGTCTAATTTAGTTTCAGTTAGTTACCGGAGTAACAGTGTGAGGTTTTGTCTTTTTAACTATTCCAACATAGGTGTAGCAAACTCTTGACTCACTCATGCAGACATCCCAGTTAGGGTACCCAAGAGCCTGCAACACAGATAATAAACAAAACAAATTGAAAGTTGATAACCTATAAAATAAAACCTATACCTAAAAAAGACCTATAAACAAAATGTGTTTTAAGAAGCGATTTAAAGAAGGTTACTGACTTCTTGACCCTTATCTCCCCGGGCAGTTAGTTAAAAGCCAAAGGGTCCTGATGAAAAAAAGCAGGGTCACCTTTAGATTTAAGTCTGGACTTTGGAGCTGTAAGGGTTGCACTGCAGTGTAGCCTGGGCCTAGACCCAGATCTGTGGTTTAAATGGGAAGGGCAAAATCTTAAAATCAATTCTACAATGTGCAGGAAGCCAAGACTTGAGTGATGTGATGTTTGCTAAAACCAGGAAAAAGCTGCACTGCTGCGTTCTGAACTAATCAAAGTCGTGAGAGTAACCTGTTCAAGGTGTTATAATCAAACCTCGAGGTCTTAGTGTGAAAGTACTGTTTTTATTCTCAAGATCGTCGTTGTTTATGTGTTGTTCACCAGGTTTATGGGCAGGTTTATCTGTTTTTTTTTTTTCTCCCTTGAGAAGGTTATGTTTTTGGTAGGGTTTGTGTGTATGTTTTTCAGTCTGTAAACATGGCTCGAAAAGTATGGATTCAATTCTGATAAAACTTTGTAGAGGTGCAGAGTGGGGCCATATCAGCAGTCCTTTAATATTTGTCTGGCAGAAAATGGACAGGAAGCTTTATAACTTAGAAACTATCATTCTTACACTTGTGGTGTTTATACAGTACTTTCTGAATGTTGAAAATAAAGATTTACAACATCATGTCACATTTGACCTCTGACCTCAACTTCAAGGATAAAATTTCTCTGAAGGTCAAAGTGATGATGATAATGATACTGTAGCTATTTAAAGTGACAATAAGTTTTAAGACTGACAAGAACATGTTGGCACGGGATTTGTTTTGAGTCTAGTTGAATAATTTTATTATGACATTGTTATGTACACTACAGTAACATGTATTTAGATGGTTATAAGCTAACAATTTGAATACTTGTATAATTAGGGCTGGGTATCGTCACTGATTTCTAGAATCGATTCGATCCACGATTTGATTAGATTCTATTCAAATCGGTAAAATTTTGCCTCAGACAGTCAGAAATATTATAATTCAGATCACGCATCAACATTTCCATATTTTTTGTCTATAAAAAGAAAGCTGACACTTGTGAGACTTTATCCAAGGTGTGAGCATCACAGCAGATGTCTTTGTGTCAAAGTAGCTGAGGATAAAAACAGAAAAACATGAAGGTGATTTTCCTGGCCTGCGATTTTATACAAATATTCTGCAGTAGATCAAAAACGAAAGAAAACCATGAATCACCTCATGAACTTTACCTGATGCTGCTGAAGTGAAGCAGAGAAGAGTTACAGAGGTTTTATTAGAGACACAGCTGAGCGTTTTGCATAATTTACATAAGTTTAAATTTGTTCAGTAGCCTATTGAACGGCAGAAATGAGGCTTTCTTGTCGGACGTAAGTAAAAGGAACAAACAGCGTCCGACAGCGCTGTAAACAACGGTAGACTTGCGCGTAATAAGCAAGCGAATAATGCAGAAAACAGATTTTTAGACGGGAAACTGTCCTTGAAGTACACACACACAGAGACAGCGCGCTTTGCATGAAGTGTGATTTTTATCATGCTGGAAGCAAAACAGCAAAAGTCAGAGGGAATTCATATGGGAGAGAAGTAAAACCTGCAGCTTCAGAAGCAGCGCAAAAATTACGTAAACACAAGGCACGGACCCGCCGATGGATCAGAATCAGCGAGCTGTCGGCTTTCAGCCCCGACCGTGTCCGTGCCGTCGGGTGAGAAAGGCGACATCTCAATGATTTGATGCGTCGGCGGGTCCGCGCTTTGTGTTTACGTCTTTGTGCAGAATCCGTGTTCCTGCTCTCATTTACTGTTTTAGCTGTTTGGTGGTTGTTGAAATTTTGTGAGGTTTAACCTGAGGGCAAAATAAATGTATATTTAAAAATCGGTTCAAGATTTTAATGAATCGATATCACGTTATCCAAGCTAGAATCGATTTTAATCAATAATCAAAACCCACCCCTATGTATAATGTATCTGAATAATTATTTTTTGGAAAACAGGCCAAATAAAAATAGCCTAAACTTTGCCCTTATTTTTACTGCACAATAAACTTCTTAAAGTACATTTTAAAAAGAACAACAAAAACAAAAGGAATCTATATAAAGTACAAAACTATGTCCTTAAAATTAAATCGTGTATTAAGAGTGCGTGAATCAAATATGACCTATAGATTGAACCTTGTGGTACACCATAGGTGAACAAACTGTAGAAGATAAATTACTTGCATTGAGAAAGTTTATTTCTCAATAAGTTTATTATTTGGTTTCATTGACATAAAATGAAACCAAATAAGTGCACTTTCCTCATGCATGTTTTAAGTTGATCTACTACTTGAAAAGAATGAAGAGAGTCGTGGTTAGCTTCAAGAGGACCTGCATTGTGTAACGCGCTAAAGCGTAATTACCAACAATTTTCTTCATGTTTTGGCAAATTTTACTCTATTAGCAAAGCCTAAAGCTAAAGTAATGTCCCTTATACACTACCGGTTAGAACACCCCAATTTTATTTATTGCAATTCAAGTCATTCAAGTCCAATGAATACCTTGAAATGGTACAATGATAAGCTGTGAAATGCCAGAGGTTAAAAAAGGTAAGGTTACACAAAACTGAAAAATAATGTACATTTCAGAATTATACACAAAGGCCTTTTTCAGGAACCACAAAATGGGTTTACTTAGTCCCTAAGGACCCCAAAGCCCTTTACACTGCATTCAGTCATTCAGGTAATGGCAAGCTACATTGACAGAGCCGAGGCTGCCGGACACTGGCACCACCAGGCCCCCTGACCACCACCAGTAAGCAAACATGGGGTATCTTGCCCAAGGATATTTGGCATGTAGACTGGAGGAGCCTGGGATCGAACCACCGACCTTCTGGTGAGTAGGTGACCCGCTCTACCACCTGAGCTACAGCCACCCAAAAGATAACCAGGCTATACCAGAACTACCCCAGGAAGAAGGAGCAATATCTGCCAAAGGTGACACATCAAAGTAGACACATTTGACTACTTTGATGTGTGAAAGGTGTAGAATATATTTTGGTCTATAAATTGATTCCATGAGTTCTTTTTTTTAACTCCAATTGCTTAATTGTGTTATGCTTTTTTCAGAGTGCAATGACACATTAAACTGCATAATTTTCAATAAAAACTGGAAAAATTGGGGTGTTCCAAAATCTTTGACTGGTAATGTACTCTTTATTTTGTTTTATTAGTTGGGTTTTATTTCTTTTTAGAGTTTTAATTTTAAATGTGTACTTTTTTTATTTTTCACTTGGCTTTTATTTTTCAACCCTGGCTCGTTTTAGTTGACTCTGATGACTGTGGTAGCCAGCTGTAGAAGCCAGCGGCTTTGTAGGCAGGATATGAACCCAGAAACGGTTAAAACCACCAACAGACGTGCTGAAGACGAGCTGCCTTCTGTGCCACAGTAACCCCCAGTCGGTTTCAGTGAGGTGTTTACTGCTCTACTTATGTTTCTCTTCCTGAAAGAGGGGGGAATTCAGACATGCCTACAAAAACAGATGGAAATGAGCTGGATAAAAAGAAAGTTGCAGCAGCAATGAAAGTGAGAGATGAATTTCTTAACATAAAGCCTGTGTGTGTTTTTTATTTAGTTATTAAATTTTTTCTTGAGTGACAGGGAGTTTGTGTGTTTATGATGCATTCTCACCTGGCAGCGGTTCATACATGCTGATCCTGCGTGAGTGTTGATGGATGGATCAGCATCGTCATCATGTTGGCAGCGCTTCAGACCCAGAGAATGCCAGCCACGCAGCGATAAACACCGCTTAACCTATTTACACCTAACAACAGGCTGGGAAATTACCAGCAGATAACAGCTCATCAGTCAGACTGCTGCACCAGCCTTCAGCTGCAGCTCCTGTTGTGTGAGGATTTGATTAATTTACTGTGATGATGCACTTACAGTGTTTTATTATTTTTCCCAGCAAGTGGGCTGCCAATAATATTAATGAGTAAAAGTTACACACCTAATATTAATCTGTGATGTCAAGAGTGTGTGATGTGAGGATAAACTTCATTTGATTTGATTTGACCACATTATTATCATTTTTGATGGTCATGAAGTGTGAGGAAGTAAAC